CACATTTTACGCAATAATAAAATTATATCTGGTTAGCAATCGCAGGCCCCATCTCACTGGTGATACAAGTTAAGCTGAGTGCAATGTTTGGCCGGAATAATTTATGGAAATTAGTTTCGGGTTAGTTGAAAACTTCCAGCCAACTTTTTTAATGAAATATTTTTAGTTAGTTTAAGGCGATGTTGATGTATTCGTTATTTTAATATTAAAATTAAGTGTGGCATACCTGATTGGCTACGAACTGATTTAATTTTTAATTTTATTGAACCGAAAACTTCGTAATTGCTGTCTTATCCGAAATAAACGCAGCTTTAGCTGCGAGCTTTCGCTGGGTACTGTGATAATAGATTTGCGTTCGGTTTAAAATTTCAGGATTCGGAGTGAGTTTAGTTGACAGGTTGACATTTGATTTCCGCACCATAATTTCACCGCCGGTAAAATATATGAAAAGCAATTGCAGCCTTTAACTAGAATTAAAATAGTAGTTGATGAGTGTTTAGCGAAATGCGGTTGGTTGTAATTAAACAACATGCGAAAATTTTAAAACCGACCTTGTGACGTCACTAAAGTTTGGTGACGTCATATGCATTAGCAAACTAAATTAAAGCCGGCTCCGTTTTCCATGTTCCTCGGCTTGCGACTTTCACCAGTGCCTAATTTTCCGCAAAGGGATTACGGATTTTCCACCAGAGGGTTCAATATGATATTTACCTACCCATAACGTATGATTTAATCCTGCGACGAAGCCCCTCTTATTAGTTAGTAATTAGTGCTTTATTTATACTGCGGCGTTTATTTGTGTTGGAAATTTAATTTAAAAACACACAATTTTTTGTCCGCGCTGTACGCAGTATAACAAGTACCGCAGGGAGAAAAATATTTACTATTCTAATTTTGTGTTGACTTTCATAAACCATGGACCGACAACGCGAAATCGTAGCTTTTATTCTTGTGCGATTTTTTATGTTTTTGTTTGAGTTTTCAAACAAGGGCCTGCTCATTGTTTCTAAATTTAATTCGCTCAAACGGTCTTCTGAAACTTGAGCTTATTATCTTTTAAAACATAATGAATCGCCGCTTTTCATCTTTCTCGGAGAATTTTAATATATTGTATTTTAATACTGTTGTCAGAACAGGAGCAATAAGTTTTAGTGTAAGGGGGATGCTTGTTGTGCTTTTATTTATGAAGTGTTTTGTGCCGGCATAATTTTATTTAATTATTTCATTATAACAACTCTTTTCGAGGTTCTATGTTTTAAAGAGAGGAGTTTTTTATTTTATCTGATGAGAAGAGGCGGACAATCAGGTTGGATCGAGTTATCCAGGTTGGTTCAGGGCAGGCCAAGTTAGGTCGGGTTAAGTCGGGTCAAATCAAATAAGGCCAAGTCAAGGCAAATTAGCTTAAGCTAAATGAATCAGGTTAGATTAGGTTAGATCCAATCAGGCTAGACAAAATCAGATGACATTAGCGCAAATCAGTCCAGTTAGACCAGGGTAGATTAAATCACACCAGGTCAGGTCAAGTCAAGGCATGTCGGATCAGCTCAGGTTAAATCAGTTCAAGTCGCAACAGGTCAAGTCAAATCAAGCCTGTTTAAACCGGATCAAGTCAAATCAGGGGACGTCAGGGCAAACTAGGTTATCCTAAATCAATTATGTTAAATCGGGTTAGATCAAATCAGATCAGGCCAGGTCAGACCACGTTTGGTCAAGTTAAACCAGTTCAGATCAATTTGGGTTAGATCAGATCAAGTCGAATAAAGCCAGATCAAGTGATGTCAGAGATGAAGAGATGAAGTTAGACCATCTCAGTGCAAGATAAATTAACTAATTTGATTTACCCTGATTTGACTTGCCTGGCTAACTAAGTCAGTTGGAGCCGAAAATAAATTCTCTGGGTCGTATTCTACAGAAAAATCTCGGTGGCCGAAAAAAATCGAAAAATTCGTAACGCCGAAGTTTTGTAAAATCTACTCAAACAAGTATTTTATAATTCAATTTCCAAAAGAAAATATTTTTTGGTCAAAGTTTTGGAATCCAAAATTTAATCCTAATAAGATATTCATCGGTTAAGATTTCGGACCCCAAAATTTAATCCTCTAAATTTTTTTTCAAAACTCTAATCTTTTGACAGATCGTGTCGAAAATTATAGAAAATTTTAAACTATGGTTCCGGAGCCATATATATGCGAAATATCCCGTGCGAAATTCAAATTTTTTTAAATCCTGAAAACTGCTGTAGTTTATATTGGCGATTTTGAAAAAATTGTAGATATTTTCGAAAAAAAGAAGCCTAAAACAAATCGACAAAAAAAATTTAATTAGACAATTTTCGTAGGTGATCGCAGAAAGTAATCTTAAAATCAGCGCTTTTGGAAAAGTCGTCTATAGATCGACAAATAATTCTAGAATATATATACATATATATCTTGACGAGAATTTTTTTTATATTGGAAATGGTAGATATTTTCGAAAAAACAGATATTAGATATTTTCGATTTCTGCATACGTTTATTTTCTAGAAATTAATCTTGATGAAGTATATTCGAAACGTACTAAATCATAAATATTTTCCTATGTGCCGCTAATTCTATATAAAAGTTGAGCGTTTTCAACAAATTGACATGAGATTAATATCGAAATAGTGGAACTTGAATCAACAGCTCGTCAATGCATTTTTTAAAACTTGGATTTCGTCAAATGAATCACAAAATTTTTAATTTTCAAAAGAAAATATTTATCGAAACTCAAAATTTAACACTAACCCTTTGAGGTAATTTTGTGCAAAAATATGCAAATTTTGAATTTTGGGCTTCATAGTTATAAAAAATCGAAAATTAAGCGTTTCCAATGTGTTTAAGTTTTGTTATTCCATTAAAATACCACCAAAAAATGTTTAGGAAAAAAAACTTTTCTTCTAAAATGGGATGTGTTCAGTCTATAATGTTTTTAGAAGAATTTTCGAAAAAAGATACAAGTGCCTGTAATTATTTATGAAGTCGGCGCTTCCACTATTTTTCACCTAAAATTATATGTGTATGCTAATTTTTCCCAATTCTAGAACAACAAATATGTGGTGATCGTTTCAAATAACGCAAAAATGTGTAATTTATTTGAGAAAAATTAAAATCTGAAAAAATCGCATATTAATTTTGCTTCACATTTCCGTTTATTCTATTTCCTTAAAATATCAAATATTGATTGAAATCGATCATTTCTTGCACGATATCTCGCGTCCTGTATAAAGTTCTGACTACAAATGTTTATAAATGTATTTATTATCCCGGCGCCTCTACCATTTTTTCGCAAAGAAGTTAAAACTACAAATGACCGAGTTTATAGAGAAATTTTATGGTTCAATAATTTGATTCTGCCCATTCTAACAACTACGAAGTGTAGTAAAATATTTTTACAAAATTTTCCAAAAAATTTCCGAAAAATGTTGAAACGGCAGCTATGCGAACGGAATGGGATAATAATTTATAGAATTCTTCGTAGATTGACAATATTTTCATTACATTTTTATTCTATTTCTTGAAATAACTTAGAAAATGGGGAAATTATGTTCCAAAAATTTTCAAGAAAAAAGATTCAAAGCAGACTAGTCAAAAGAAAAAAGTACTGGATACTAGAAAATTTCCAAACTTCAAATTTGGATGAACATTCAAACTGTCTCTACAACTGACCAGGAAAACTGGAAAAATAATTTCCAAATATTTTCAAAAATACATGTTAAAATGGTCTGTATTTGAAAGAAGAAAAACTGTTAAAATTTGTAACTTTTTTTCAAAAATTAAAACAAAACAAAAATTATTAAAACTGCAGCTATTTGAAAGGGAAACATAATGCAGGAATTCTTCGTAGACTAATAAATTTGAGGTCATTTTTGTTCTACTCCTTAAAATATCCTAAAATAAGTGTAAAATATTTTCCAAAATTTCCATAAAAAGGGCAAACAACCGATTCAACAGAAAAAAAGCACTGACCTACTAGAAAATTTCATTTAAAATACGAATTAATGGAAAGAATTACGAATATTTAATTGGCTCATCTCCAAAAACTACAGCACAATATTAGGAGGAATTACAAAGTAAATATTTATTGGAATCTGGTATAAATATATTTGTTAAACAAAACTTTGATTATCTGGTTTAGAGTAAATAACTCATTATTCCCACCTCTATTCACTGACATGAAAGTGTTTAATACTACTTTAAATTTAATATAGCTGCTTTTGATGAAATTCAAATTACTTTTCGAACTGACTAGCAATTCCAGTTGCATGAACTGCAATATTAATATGCTAATGTGACATCCCATAGTACGAAATGGATAAATTGTGTCGTACGTGACAGTAATATTGTTGCACAAATCAATAGTCAGTGTTTAAAATTTTTCGTTGTCAAATGCATGGAAATTTATAAAGCTCTGTCATCCCTAGAGTGCTCACATAAAAGATGAAAGACGTAAGACACTGACCCATTCCGAGCGGCTATAAAGACCTCTTCCAGTCATTAATTTTCGCAACAATGCTCAAACATATCTCACGGTGACTATCCTTAGTTTAGTAAACACGGGAAAACGGTCTGAGCGCCACTTCTATAATTTTAGGTTAGAAATGTAGACAATCAAACAAAAACTAAGGAGGCCAATTCCTGGCCGTAAAATTAATCTCCGGGAATTTTTAGCAAAACTACCCAAGCCCAGCGACCCGTTTCCTCCCTAATCGAATCCAAGAGTCTCTAAACCACCCCCATAAAACTCCCAACTGGCAATAAATCCAAAATTGCGTATACTCCAAATTAAGCAACACGTTGTACCCTGCCTCGACCCAGTTTCCTTCCTTTAATTGATTCAAGCATTTTCAAGTTATATCAAGAATCTTATTAGCCTCAACTTCTCACCTTTCCCGTTAAGCCGCAATAAATTTCAAAAGCACCCCGGTATTTACTCGAATCCTCAACGCCCGAATCTACAAAAATAACTTTGTGTTTTTTCAGTGCCTCCGCGGATACACTACGTGTCGTCGAATGGACGCGTCGAAGTAAAAAAAGGATCATCAGTAAGGTTAGAGTGTAAAGCATCTGGTAATCCTGTACCTAAAATAACATGGTCGAGGAAAAACAATGTCCTGCCATCAGGCGATCAAACATTGGTTACTCCAGTGCTAACACTGGATAGGGTGGATAGGCATCAAGCTGGTGTGTACAAATGCACAGCGAGCAACGGAGTCGGAGAGGACGTCACCGAAGAGATCAATCTACATGTCCTCTGTGAGTACGGTCTTTTTTTTATTTTAATCTACTTATACTACAAGTTTTTGGCAATTTTCTTCCGGTACTTTAAATTTTTGCGCTGTAGACAAAATGTTTTAAAATTCCGCAAAAGTTTGCAGCTTCGTTAGCAAAGAAAAAATCCATAAACTATTTACGTGGTGTTTCCGGCGACTCATTAACGAAATGTCTCGGAAAACTTATAACGACATTAGAAACATCGAAGCAGGAAAATTTCGCCACATTAAACATTTTAGAGGACTTTTCACTCCGGCTGTCGGCGCCTTAAACAACTCCCCACACATCTATAAATTTCAATCATTTATTTTTAACGAGGAGTGGGAAAAGTGAAAGAAGTCTACAACTAACAGAAGCAAAGAAACTTACTTTCTCGACGAAAGCACGTACAAAGAATTTTCGAATTGGGCTAACCTTTCCGGCGAATTACAAAGAAAGTTGCAACTTTACAAATAACGAACAAACTTCCACAGAAAATTAAATCTAAGTAGGTGGGTGACGTAAGTGTGCTTCTTCCAGGGTCTGCTTGTCAGATGCTAATTATTATCGCGCGATATAATTATATTAAAATTCAATTAAGCGCCATACCGGGAAAAAGTTATTAAGGAGAAATTATAAGGCCGCTTTAATAGCGTGTTTATCACTTAATTTGTACCTAATTGTTCGGATGGTAGTCATTTCGCTGAAATGAGGGCAGCAAACTAGAATTTTTAAGCGGGGGAGTTTCTTAGCATGCAATTCTGCTTTGTAAGCGGGAAAACTATATTATCGTGGAAATGCTCAGGAGGATATTGACTAAACCATTATATCCGCAGCTACACAACACTAATTAATGCGCAAAGCGGTTTTTTCATTAACGAAATTATAATCACTCAAATACAGTTTAATGCACAATACACAATATCTGTCCATATTTTATCCCACATTGATTGTTTTGTGTTAAAACTACTCGAATTCATCCAAATGTCGATTGTAATTAATTTTGCTTTAAATTTTTATACTTTCATTTCCTTCAATCAAATATTTAATAATGTAATATATATCAAATTATTTATAGAAAGAAATCACTTCCTCCAAAATATATCCCATCTAGTGAAAATTTAAAAAATTATTCCGGGCCCCTCCACCATTTTTCGACGATTTTTTTCCAATTTTTTTATTTTTCGCGACAAATTAAATTAGTTCCAAGAGCACCTTACTTTAAATTAAAACTTCTCGAAATGAAAATCTACGTTCATTTTAATCTATTCTCTTAACAACTGAAAGAATGGAATTGTTGAGGAACATTAAACCTGTACAAAGCTAATCAAAAATCGGTAATTAATCCCGCTTTAAATGTCAATTTCCTTGAAATATCAAAATATGGATTGATCATAATGGTCCCTTCCAAAATACATCCAGGCCTGTACCAATTTTCAAACAATTATTGAATTAAATAAATGCAAATATATGTATTTATTTATTATCCCGGCGCCTCCACCATTTTTCTCGAAAATTCAATTTATTTGAATAATTTTCAAGATCGCTTTTCTTTTACAGAATGAAATTATTGGAGAAACTAAAAACTCAAATCTATACAAAAATCGAAAATTAATCGTTATCCAAATGTGTATTTGATCTGTTATTCCGTTAAAATATCAAACAAATTTTAGGTCATCTAAAATGAAGTATATTTAACACATAATATTTTTAGAGGAATTTCCAAAAAAAAAAAGATACAAGTGATGGTATTTTGATATTTCGGCGCCTCCACTATTTTTCACAAAAGATACATTTAATCTTATGTCAAAAAGCCGCTAATTAATTTTGCTTCACATCTCCGTTTATTCTGATTGATATTTCCTTAAAATATCAAAATATCAACTGTTTATAAAGTCCTCACTATAAATACTTATAAATTTATTTATTGTCCGGGCGCCTCCACAATTTTTTTTTTTTCAAAAAAATTAGAACTGCATTATAACATTAATCAGTGAGGAAATTAGAAACATAATTAGAAAAAATTTCCAAAGGAGAAAGAAGAAAAGTACTAGTTTACAGAGATTTTTTTATGGATTAATAACAATTTGATTCTGCCCATTTCAACAACCGTGAGGGGTGGTAAAATATTTTTAAAAAATTTTCCAAAAAATTTCCAAAACATGTTGAGATAATCATTTATAGAGTTCTTCGTACATTTATAATATAGGATAATTTTTATTCTATTCCTTGAAATAACTTAGGAAATGGCGAAAAGTGTTCCAAAAATTTTCAAAAAAAATGTCCAAGCTGTCCAATTAAAAACAAGTAATGGACTAATATTCAAACTGTCCCTGCAAATGAACGGAAAAATTTGAAAAGTAATTTCCAAAAATTTTCCAAAGACATGTGAAAATGATTTCAGCTTGAAAGGAAAAGTGGATTAGTTTATTGAAAATTTTTTGTAGAATAATAAATTAACATCATTTTAATTGTACCTCTTTCCTATATACCGGAAAAAGTGGCACAATATTTTTTCAAAATCATACAAAAAAAAAATCCAAAAATTGTTAAAACAGCACCTATGCGAATGGAATGAGATACTGCTTTATAGAGTTTTACGTAAATTCACAATTTCAGGTCATTTTTGTTCTATTCCTTGAAATAACTTAAAAAAATGGGAAAATAATCTTCCTAAAATTTTCAAAAAATAAAGATTTAAATAGACTACTCAAAAGAAAATTTCTTCCAAATTACGAATTTGGGGTAATTTTCGAACTCTTTCTACAAATCACCAGGAAAATTGGAAAAATAATTTCCAAAAAAATTTTCAAAAATACATTTTAAAAGGGTTTCCATTCGAAAGAAAAATACTAGTAAAATTTGTAAAATTCTTTTTCAAAAATTAAAAAAATATCCAAAAATTAAAATTAAAACTGCAGCTATTTGAAAGGGAAAAATAATGCAGTTCAAAACTTCAGGGACATAGATCTCGACATGCTGATTCCAAAAATATATAGTCTTAACAGTCACGGAGCAAAATTTTCCAAAGAAACGGTACGAAATACGAATTTATGAAAATTTCTAAAAATTTCGATATTTCAACGGTCGATTGTGGAAAAACGGATGGAGTAATCAAAGAAATATCGCCAGATGTGAGTTCTAGAGCTCGAAATCTACAAGAAAATGTATTTAGTTACGTTTCGAAAATGTGAAAAATTTCACTTTTAAAAGAGTTGTCTAAAAATTGTGAAAAAATTCAGAGACGTAGTTTTCGACATGCTGATTCCAAAAATATGGAGTGTTAATAGTCACGGAGCAACATTTTCGAACGAATCGGTACGAATTGCGAATTTTTGAAAATTTCTAAAAATTTCGATATTTCAAAGGTCGATTGTGGAAAAACGATTGCAGTAATCTTAGGAACATCGCCGGATGTGAGTTCTAGAGCACGAAATCTGCAAGAAAATGTATTTAGCTAAGTTTCGAAAATGTCAAAATTTGGCCGAAATTTGAAGAAGGGGGGACCATTGAAAAAATTTCACATTTAAAAAAGTTGTCTAAAAATTGTGCAAAAATTTAGGGACGTATATCTCGGCATGCTGATTCCAAAAATATGGAGTATTAATAGCCAAGGAGCAAAATTTTCGAAAGAATCTGCACGAAATGCGAATTTTTGAGAATTTCTAAAAATTTCGATATTTCAACAGTCGATTCTGGAAAAACGGTTGAAGTTATCAAAGAAAGGGGGCCGGAAGTGTGTCCTAGACCTCGAAATCTACAAGAAAATGTGTTTAGCTAAGTTTCGAAAATGTCAAAATTTGGCCGAAATTTGAAGAAGGGGGGACCATTGAAAAAATTTCACTTTTAAAAAAGTTGTCGAAAAATTGTGAAAAAATTCAGAGACGTAGATTTCGACAAGCTGATTCCAAAAATATAGAGTGTTAATAGTCATGGAGCAACATTTTCGAAAGAATCGGGACGAAATTCAAATTTGTGAAAATTTCTAAAAATTTTGATATTTCAACGGTCGATTCCGGAAAAACGGTTGCAGTAATCTTAGGAGCATCGCCGGATGTGTGTTCTAGGGCTCGAAATCCACAAGAAAATATTTTCAGCTACGTTTCGAAAATGTCAAAATTTCGCCGAAATTTGAAGAAGGGGGGACCATTGAAAAAATTTCACTTTTAAAAGAGTTGTCCAAAAATTTAAAAAAAATTCAGAGACGTAGATCTCGGCCTGCTGATTCCAAAAATATGGAGTGTTAATAGTCACGGAGCGACATTTTCGAGAGAATCTGTACGAAATGTGAATTTTTGAAAATTTCTAAAAATTTCGATATTTCAACAGTCGATTCTGGAAAAACGGTTGGAGTTATCAAAGAAAGGAGCCCGGAAGTGTATTCTAGAGCTCGAAATCTTCAAGAAAATGTATTTAGCTAAGTTTCGAATATGTCAAAATTTGGCCGAAATTTGAAGAAGGGGAGACTATTGAAAAAATTTCACTTTTAAAAAAGTTGTCTAAAAATTGTGAAAAGATTCAGAGACGTAGATTTCGACAAGCTGATTCCAAAAATATAGAGTGTAATAGTCACGGAGCAACATTTTCTAAAAAATCTGTACCAAATGCGAATTTTTGAAAATTTCTAAAAATTTCGATATTTCAACAGTCGATTCTGGAAAAACGGTTGGAGTTATCAAAGAAAGGAGGCCAGAAGTGTGTTCTGGAGCTCGAAATCTACAAGAGAATATATTTAGCTAAGTTTCGAAAATGTCAAAATCTGGCCGAAATTTTAAGAAGGGGGGACCATTGAAAAAATTTCACTTTTAAAAAAGTCGTCTAAAAATTGAGAAAAAATTCAGAGACGTAGATCCAGACATTCACTTCCCTCGCTCCTCAAACAGATCCTGCTTCTTTGAACAATTATTATAAAATTTGAAAAGTGCGAACGATAACAAATATATTTAACGAGAAAATTAACTCTTAGTAATTGCATGGTTAACTTCGAAATTAATTAATTAATT